TCGCACCTATAAATTTGCTGATGTATTTTATTTTATTTTATATATTTTAAATATTTTAACATTTTTTGAAATATTTCGAAATTAATCTCACGTAATATTTCGTAATTTATTTCGAATTATTTCGAATTTTCTTACGTAAGTTTACGTAATTTTGATATTTCGCATTAATTTGAAATAGTTTACGCAACATTACGCTTTTTTTACGTTTCGTAAATTATTTCGAAATATTTTGCCTCATTAAATTTGCTGATGTATTTATTTTTTTATTTTATAGCGAGCTTTCGAAAATAAAAACCTTATTATGCCCCAAATTATGTTGGCGATTGCTGAAGCTAAAGCTAAAGAACATGAAGAGGCAAAACAAAAGAAGCAAAAAAGTAATAGCAAACACGAATCATTTTCAAGTGTAGAAAGTGAAGACCTTGACGACCTTGACGACAATTATGATAATCTAATAAAAATTTTTTATTGGTTTTCTTTTGAACTTTAATTTTGATTTTTATTTATTTATTTATTTATTTTTTAGATAGGAAATTATGATTCTCAATTTTTATCAGATAGTTATATTTCTCATAGAAATCTACATTAGGTTTTTTAATTCATAAACTTGTAATCAAGTTTAATAGTACAGATAGATTGACAAGCTCGATCCTTTAAGGTAAAAAATAATAAATATCTTCAAATTCAACAAAAAAAAAAAAAGCAACTATTCTTAAAAAAAAAAAAAAAAAAAACAGTAAGATTAGGCCACACAAATTTACTGTCTTGGTTTTCATAACATGAAACTTTTAAACAGACTTGGCTGGCTTTTTTTTTTTAAATTTCATATTTAAAAATTTCTTTAAAAACCCATCTGGTTATTAAAACATATAAATAATCTTTTTTTTTACAAGTTTTCAAATTTTGACCCAGCTGGGTTATGAAAACCAATGAATTAATTTTGCATGGCCTTATCTTTTGTGTTTTTACTATCCCGTCAATTTGAAGATTGTTATACGATTGGTACAAACTTTCGCCGATTTTGGTATTCAAGTAAATTTGTTTGAAAAAGCTTGTGTTGATTTTGAATCTCAAGTATCCTTTTCAGATCCAATGTGTGAAATTCTTCAAAGAAGAATTGATGAGTTAGAAAAAAATAATAAGCAATTATTAAGTGAAAATGAAACATTAAAAAAAAAGTTAAGCGAAAGATTTACTAACCAAGAAGATCGCATTCATTCTATAATGAGATTGCCAAAAAAGAACGAAGTAATTTGTGTGAAGATGTAATAAATTTAATAAAGAATCAAGAACGGTTTTCTTTAGGTAGTCTTTTGGAGTATTCTCCTTCCAAGTGGCTTGCTGAGCGGAATCCGGTCGTCATCAAGTTTATAGAAACTCTTACGCATAATGAGAATGAACATCAGCACGGAGAGGAAAAGCTTTTCAAGTGTGCAGTGGCAGTTGATGCTATATATGGGTCAAGGCATTTAAGATATGTATCGGCTATTAATTTGGCAATTTTAGCAGTTAAGTATTCGTTAGCAAGATCAAAAATGATTATTGATATTGATAACCATATTATTAGCTCTGGTAGTTATACGAAGTTTAATAATTGGTTAGAAAGTTTAGCTAGAGAACAACCACAGCTTCCTGAGGGTTTTTTGTTTTTGGCCTTTGACAACGAACAGAAAGGTCAAAAAAACTATTTGGATCGTAGGAATAATACAGTTATATTCCACACAGTTACGAGTTTCGTTGCATTTAGCTATAGCCAGAGTAATAATATTCAAAGTAAAAATCCTTGGCTATATACGGAACTTGACTCAAAACAATATGAAGAGTTATTTTAT